AATCCCAAATCAAAGTAATAAATCTAGGTACTGAAGATGTAACAGTTCAGTTTCAACCTCAACTTCAGACTGTGAATGTAAAGTTTATGGATTCGGTAAGTAAGGGGAGAAGGGGAATAGTAAGTTTAAAAAAAAAAAAAATCTAATGGAGTAAGTAAAAGTGGTTCTTAACTAATGGTTCAAAATTGATTCTTTTCTACTTTTTTCTCTATTCATTTTAAAGATTTTTTTTTTTAATTGCAGAATCAATCAACTGAAAACAAAGTGAATGAAGAAGCAGTAGTTATTTCAATATTCTAAGTAGTACTAGGGTTTTTTTGGCAAGAGTTTGGGGTTTTTTTTTTCCCCTGAGAAAGTTTAAGAAACTTAATAGCAATTTTGAACTAATTGAAAATTTCACTCTTGCTAAAAAGGTACAATTTCTTAACAGCAAGAACACCCTGTCCTTCAATAAAAGTGCATTCAGCTCTAGCAAGTCACTGCTCTTACTGTGAGTGATCACTTACTTGAACAGGGAGCTTTTTCTGTGGCTACATCACATATAGTAAGCGTCAGATTTTGCTGTCAAAGAACCTTCTTGGGTTCTATTGCAGCACAACCCTGATAGCTCTACTGACAGAAAAATGTGGTGGAGCTGATGGACACTCTTAGTAATGGATATTAGGAAGGGTGTTCTCTGACCGCCTGCAGTTCTGTTTCCATATAAGAGGAGAAACCCTATTCCATTCTTCTCCAAATTTGCCTCACATGGAAACTGACCTGTCAGGAGAAGATAAGGGCACCAAATTTATGCTGATGTGAAATTGATATAACCATGATGCACACCTGAAAATGAAGGATGTAAAATGCTCCACTCCCTACTATAGACATTTTATAATCCAGGTATTTTGGATTATAAAATGCTTTTTATAATCCTATAAAACAGAAGGGTTATTTTATTCCTACATTAACATGTTTATTAATGTTTTAAGTATTTTATGCTGATGAAATGTATTTAGAATATTTAAAACGTGTCCTGGTATTAGCCACTCCTGTTATGCTGAAACTGTAAAGGTGAATCTTGCATTTGCATCTCTTAGGAGGTGTTGCCATTTGGAAAATGCTGGATCTTACGCTAGTGCTGTCTCTAGCTAAACAGAATTTTACTTGGTGGTGGTGGTGGTGAGCCTGATCTATTTGGACCAAGAAATCCACAGCAAAATATGACAGCTATTCCATAATGCTTGTGGGAACCTCATGTTACTTTGAAGCTTGTGTAACACAAGAAATTAATAAAAAATAATGATCAAATGAAATTAGTGCTTAATGTAGAAAACCTAACAAAAATGGAAGTTGGGAGATGCTCATAATCTCTGGCACTTCAGAAGTAACAACACTGTAAACTGCTGACACCCCCCCCCCCCCAAGTCCATAACACTCCCTCAAAGGTGTAGACAAATATGCATGGAAATTCATAGCAATTCATTTGTCTTTGTAGACGGGCTACATGACATTTGAGAATTCTCAGTTGCAATCGTTAGACATAAAGTCTGGAAATCAAAGTAAAACTATACACAAGGAGTTGCCAGGGGGACACCGTCATACTCTTGAAGTTAAAAATACTCAGACAGGCATTGTTGCTACATTGGTAAGTGTGCTTAATTCCCAAGATATACATTAATGTCTTGACAGCTATCTATGTGGAGTGTGTGAAGCTGAGAGGACAAGCTGCTCTGGGCAGCTTTTTCTTTGTCTCGTTTTCTGTCTCCCATGTTTCTGCTGTATCAATGAGACTGGTGAGCTGTAGAGAGCAGGGCCGGATGTTGTTTAAAAAACAAAAGTAAAGAAAATTACCAACTTAGTATTTAACTTGACAGTTATCCTTTCACCAAGACTTAAATGTGTGGTCATACAGTGTTTTCTAGTAGGCATGTATCTTAGTAGGATCCTAAAAGGAAAGGTCTGGAGTCTTGCTCTGAAGCCTCTGTTAATTCTCACTGCCATGTAATAGTGCACATTTAAGCTGTTCGCTGATGCTAATGAAGTATCTTGATAACGGTCTCTTCCACCAGCTGGCTGACAATGTCACGTCAAAACCAGAAGAAGGAAATAATCTCATCAGGTAGAGTTTGTTTTGCTCCTAGATTTTGACAGTAGTGTGACTTCAATCTGCCTCTTGAGTGGACTCTTCTTGCTTAACATAGCTTTCTATACTGTAGGAAATCTCTGCTTGCTGGACACCTCACGCGATGTTTGGGGGGGTGTAGGAATTTCTGGGGCATGATTCACCTAAGCTATCTTGCGTATCTACTTTGGGTATAATTTAGCTAAAATTGGAAGTGCATGCTTTGCTTCATTGTTTAGACTTCTTTGTAGACAACCAGCACAGATTGCATGTCTGTATCTCCTTTTTAACCTTGGGTAGGAAGTATCCTACCACTTCTCTGGTTTTTTTCTGCAACTTCCATTTGCAGATGTATTTGCTACTGGCTGTAGTAAAGGCTTGCTTTTGACATTCTTTTAAGCAGGCAGTGGGCTGATGTGGGTCTAACTTGTTTTTTTGCATTAGCCACATTTTAAGAGATTTAGAGTTCTTTCAAAAATGTTAACTGATAAAAGTGAAAGGGGAAGACTTGATACTTGTTGTGCTGCCAGTATATAATTAAAAGTAAAACCTGTGTTCTTTGACTTAGGCATATTCTGTTTAGTATTTCATCACTCTTGCATTTTAAAGGTTCATAAACAATTTGCCTGATCCCATCAACGTCACTATGGGTGACACTTCTTATGGAATACTGGCATCTCTTTCTGCCAGTAATTACAGACTCTTTCCAGGAGGAAGGTAAGCATTTTTCCTTTACCTGAATCTAACACTTAAGGGCGTACTTTTCCTTGGGAAAAGGACATAGAGCTCTTCTTTTATATAACACACAGAATTGTCTATACCTGTGGCCTGAACCATGCTTTTTCCTTTTCAGAAAGGATATGATTATGGCTATTAGAAATTCAATGCCTTGTTCAGCTGTTTCAAAAGCACTTGGATTTGGCGGTGCCTATACAATTGTAATTGATGAGGTGAGTTGCCAGTGCTGTTGGATGGACAAGACAGAATTACTTTTCATGTCAATATTTTCTTTAATTAAAAAAACAGTTGTAGAATTATCCCTCTTGCCTTTAATCGTATATATGTGACAATTATTGTATGTTAAACAGAACATAAAACCATTGTTAAATATAAAAATAGTGATGGGTATGATAGTGATGAACATGAATTCTTGCATTATATCATTAAAGGCCTTAAGTCTTTAGCCCAGTTAGACACTAAGGATTTGCATGAAGTCTGCTGTAAAATAACTGCTACTTTATAACTAGGTATGAAGTGTTTCATATACAATATTTCTTACTTACGCAGAACTTTGTGTATATATGATTATAGAGATGATATAGAACTGCTTAGAGTGCTTTTAGTGTACAGACTCTTTATCACTGTTTCTAATGTGCTATTTTAATTTCCAGTGTTCTGGAGGCAGACTTAATGTAACATATTCTGAAGATATCGCACCCAACACAGTCCATATGGCTTGGCAGATCCCTCAGTATTTTATTCTTACGTGTGCAGAAGTAGTCTTCTCTGTCACTGGGCTGGAGTTTTCCTACTCACAGGTAGGTTTCACCCTTCAGAGCTCTCATTGTGTTAAGAAACCTGGTACAAACTAAGATCTTCTGTGATTTATTTTTAAGTGGTGGTTCTGTATTGCTGCTTTGCTTGAGCAATGACAACCTCTAGAGCTCCCTAGTAGGACTACAGGCTGGTGCAGACTGGCCTTGTTTCAATAGCATTCAGTGCTTTCCACAAAGCTATGCTGAATTATATCAATCGAAGACTTGACCACTAGTCCTCAAATCTCCTTCTCACATGTGACTTTCCACTGAAAATAAGTGGAACTGTACTGCTGCTGTAAAACCAAACTGGCGAGCCCTCAAATATAAAATGAAAAAGTGCTGACACCTTATCTTCACACCAATTTCCTCCATACAGTCTTTAGCAGTAGTTTAATTATATACTCTTAATCCCTTTGTCTTCCAACTCTGGTTTGTCTTATTAGCTGTGTGTATCTCCTCCCTTAATTCTGAGTCTATAAACTGCATTGTAAGATGTGGCTTGCTAGACTACAATGCACTCAACTTCTTGATTTAATGCGTACCATGTGTGACTGAGTCAGATGTAAAATGTGCCTGTTAGTTACTCAGTGTGTACAAAGTAAAAGGTGTAATAGTTAGTACTAGTAATATCTTGCTCCTCAAAGCCTTCCTCAGGCCTGTTTAGTTCTCTAGCAATTTTTAATTAAAATAAAAAAAATCCCAACTGTAAACTAACCAAGAAATCCCCATCCTCCCCAGAGAACCAGTGTTTGTTATAATGTAAACAGCAGGAAATAAGTGATAGCAGTGTTTGAAGTGCCTTTACTTCTACAGGCCCCATCTAACATGAAGGCAGTGCTGCAGGCGGGATGGCTGCTAACGGTGGCTGTTGGAAACATAATTGTCCTTATCGTGGCTGGAGCATCCAAACTCAGTGAGCAGGTAAGCACACAAGCAATTGGCGTGCTTCTATATTACGCGATGAGAAAGCAGCTCTAATATAGGAAGGAGTCACGGCTGATAATCCTCAACCACAACTTTTGAACATCAGCATTACGGTGGATTTGCATTTATAATTGGAATGTAGGAGGTTAGTGTTAGCTACAAGAGTGTACCAGTCAGTTGTAGAACTAGTGCTTGACTGAATCTCATTAGAATATGTAGTAGTGGATTTAAGAATCTTTAAGCTATCTGGATTAAAAGTAGTGTTGAAGGCTGTGACAACAAGGTGGTAACTTGTCTTCTGGAGCCACTTCTAAAGTTTCTGTTGGTCTTTTTCCCCAGCACTCCCCCAATGTGTGTACACGTGTACATACACAAACTTTAAATAACTCCAACAAATGCTACTTCAGCAAAGGTTTCTACCTCTTATCTGCTGTTTGCGATTCCTAACTCTTGTTCTGTCAGGCCCCTTCTCTTGCAAGCAGCAGTTTCTAGCACCTCTACAATAAATTGCTTCTCACGGTGTGGAAATGCTGTGAACTTCTGGGCTGAAGTTCTAGGCTAATGGGATTAAAACCTACCAAAATTCTAGTTACTGCTAATGAACCTTCACCTGCATACCTCAGCCTTGCCATGTCCCTTCTGCTGGCTCCACTGGTTTCGAACCTTACTCCTTGGGGCATGAAAGCTGTGGCTCTCGTGGTGAAGAGCACTTCGGCAAGACTTTCTCAGACCACTTGTGGCACTCCCTAATGAATCAAAAGGGAGATCTGAGCAAGCTGAGAGCCTGTCTTTGAAATGGGTCTGGCAGTCCTGGTTTCAGCTAAATTAACGAGAAAGAGCATGAAATAGAGCTGTTGAGGCTTTCCAGGTGGAGTTCCCAGTCTTGCTCTCTGCCCAGGTCTGTGGTCAGTAGAAACCTTACTGCTGACCTAAATGGAAGCAGGATCACTGCCAGCCTAGTTAAAAACTAAATTGCCTGACCAAAAGGAGGGGCTGAGTTTCCTCTTCAGGCTCTTGCTCCATTCCCATGCCTCCAGGAAGAGGATACTGTAGAACTTTCCAGCATTTGTAGAACTTCTGTCTCCTCATTAAAGACAGAACTGCTGAAAGGGCCTCAATTCAGAGTTGCTTTAGTATGTATTATATACATCTAATACTTAATCCTTTAAGTCTTATGGTGCTTGTTACAGGTGCTCAGTTTCACATTCTGAATTAACTTCATTCCTTGCAAACAGTAAAAAGGTGTAATTCTTTTGAGGAACAAATATTGATGGATAAACTATACTTTTTTTTTTTTTTTACAGTGGGCAGAATATGTGCTGTTTGCTGCCTTGCTGTTGGCAGTTTGCATCATTTTTGCTGTCATGGCTTATTTTTATACCTATGTTGATCCAAATGAGATTGAAGCCCAAATTGATGAGGAAGAAAAGAAACAGGGAAAAAATGATCAAGAAAAGCAAGCTGAAGCTGACTCTCAGATGTAAAAGGTGTATTCAGGGAGTGTTTGTAAACTATGGTATCCCATTAACTACCCCTGCAGTAAGAGGAATCATGGTACCAGTAACATCCCTGGATAATATGTCCAATGGGAGAGGTTAAGAAGAACTGTTTTCACTTAAAGCGCAGCCTCTCTTGGGAAGCAAGAGGAAAAGATTAGTCTCTCTTGTACTGAACACGGTATCCTGAAGAAACTTCAGCAGAATTTGCACTCTTAATGTACCTCAAGCTTAAATACTATAGCATTAAAATACTGAAATTGCACTCAGCACTATTAGACCCTGTGGAAAGATGTATTTTTATACTGCATTTCAATTTTATATCCTGAAAGAAACAAGTATTGCCAAGAAATAGTAATCGAAGCCAAGCCGTCTGCATGACCCCTCTAGCCTCACTGTTACTTGAAAGCAGCAGGTCACATGTGCCTTAAAATCTTTTGTACTTCTTGATGGATAATGGGAGCAAAGCTCTGGCATTGCCCAGATTAAAATACTGTCTGTGCTCCACATGGCAGTAATGTGGACATGCACTGTAGTGTAATGCTTTATGTGCCTGTTAATTACCCATTTAACTCCTGTTATGTTTTTAATTAAATGTATCAATGAGGTGTCCACTCAGGTAAACAGATGATGGCAAATGACATTTGGAATAAGCAACAGCAGTAAGACTTTTTGTTGTAACAAAATAATGAAGTGATATAAGAGTATGACTTACAGTTGTATGTTAATAAAACTTGACACCACCTTTCTGCTGCTGCTTCATCTGTGTTCCACCACTTGAAGGTAGTGGGCCCGTGTCAGTCTTCTCTATCTTAATATACCTATAATACACAGGATGCTGTAGCCCTGCGGACCATGTTATGGAGTACCAGTCTTGAAAATTCCTATTTTCAGATCCACATCCTACACTTTCTCCAGCAGCTGGCTTGGACTCCCTGGCCCCTCCAGTAGCCTGGCCAGACTTATAGCTGCTTTGATACCTGGCTTCCACTACTCTTACCCTATTTTACAGCAAGTCCAGCTTATATCTCAGCCGGGTTAGCTCAGTTGGTTAGAGCATGGTGCTAATAACGCACAGTTCACAGGTTCAATCCATGATTACTGCAGGGGAGTTGGGCTCGATGATCTCTCAAGGTCCCTTCCAACCCAAAGCATTCTATGATTCTATGTGCAAGCATTCACAGACATACATATTCAATCAAGGTGTGTGCTGCAGGCAGTGCAGGTGCATGGGACCCTGTGCCCCCTGGTTCCCACTCCAGCTGCTGGCACTTAGACCTCCATGTACGCATGCGCACAGAGAATAGAGTCCCTCACCCATGAAAACAGTTAGAAATGGAGTTTGATGAGCCAAGTCCAAGGTGTTCTTCCCCTACACCCCAGTTAGTCCTGTACCCCATAGGCAGGAGCCGCTATTGGTCTCTAAGGGCATCCAGGGAGAGCCTTTCCCACAGATTCAGGATGCTGGGTGTCCCCCCAGCCCATGGGGCTGAGGATTTCCTAGGACATCCCTAGGAGGAGCTGGCTGCCTGCCATCCTCTGAGGAGCTAAGGGGGTTTTGCACCAGCTCTACTTGTGGTAGACTAGCCAGCCTTTCCTTCGCCATGCAAGTTAAGCAAAATAAATTCTCTTAACTGTTTCCCTACAAGATAGCACCTCTGTCCACCATTTTGCCCATACCAGGTGAAATGTTTGTTTAGCATTTTAAAATTTCTTTTTTTTTTTCCTTTGGTACGCAGGTCATGTATCTATTTTTTTATATCATAAGCTCTTGGACGTTAGCACTTTAGCAAACCCACTAACTTGTCTGCCACAAGGATGGATGTGTTTTATAGGTAGAAAGCCACTAATGCTGTAGAATTAGATGGGAAAGCTTTCTGACGAGGAGAAAACAAACTCCCCCATCTCTTCAGCCCTGTAATGTAGTATGGAGACAGTTGTATGTGACAAGATTTTTATCTCATTTTCAAAAGGGATTGAAGTAATTAAAATTAAAATATCTATGTGCCTTCTCAGTCAAAATTCGATGTGAAAAAAATCAGGGAATGTTGTATGGACACCTGGGCAGCTCTTGTCAGCATTGCTGTGACTGTCTAGAAGCCATGTGCAGGAAATTGGTCTTCGGGCTGGAATCAAGTGTTTTCAGTCCCTTCGTTTTGAGGATTAAAGAGGCAAGGTTAACCTCTAAATCTGACAGTGTTTAGCTGCTGTCTAGGCTACCAGACTGCTGAGAGGGTCTTTCACCTATCTTTTTCTGTTACAGAGAAGATACCCTGAAATCAACAAAATTAACAGTTGATCATTCTAACTTCAGTTCTTATTTAAAACAAACAAACAAAAACCTTTAAAAAATGCAAGAGTGGTGAATTATGAAAGCCTGTTTTAGCAATCAAATCTGCACTCATGTCTGGCCAGGTAGATACAGGAATGTGTATGTCTGTATGCTTACTAATATTATAAATATACCATGGGGTGATGGGGTTGGTGCCAGCAGCAGGTGGCAGCTGATCTTCACGTAAGCCTCTTAAAGTGTACTTGTGATTTGAACTGATTCAGGTAACCACGTAGCTACTCTCTGAAAAACACAGGCCCTGTTTTGCTTGTCTTCCTCTTCTCCCTCTCCCCTGTATGCAGTCAGATCAGCCGCTAAACTCCCTGGGACATGGACTGTGACTTGTTATCCACCTGTGGGCATTAGGTATTTATGCAGAGCTTTGACTCAGATTAGGAATGAGCATGGGAAGGTGATAAAAATTTAACAGCAATAATGGAGAGTTCATTGAATTGTGGGCTTTCATGTTGCCTTTGTACTGTGCTAAACACCATAAAATCCTGTTCTGCAGTGGTGTCTCTAGGAGGAACAGCAGTGATTGAATTAGGCTGGAAATGGGGCATCCTTGATTGTCCTGAACCACCTCCTGGTGGAGTAGGATGGTTTCAGGAGTTGCTACTTCCCCTTTGACAATCTTGTCTCTCTCTCACACTCTAAGGCATGATCCAGTTATTTTTTTATCAATATTCTAATCTCTGCAAGATGGTCAGTGATACTACGCTAAAGCATTGTGTCAAGGTATGAAAGAAAAACGTAAAAGTAATTTGTAGAGTAACAGTATATATAGGTGGCTTGCAATTACTTCCAGGAATTAGTAAAAAAACCCCAACAACCTGGTATAGATGTTTGCCTAAAACTATAGAGAAGTCTTTGAAAGGATTGTGCTGCTTGTAGGCCCATTTTCAATGTGGTGCGATGACACCTGCTGCTGGCACCAACCCCATCACTTGGAAGCTCTCAGCAGCATCCTGGTGTGATGACTCTATAGATAGAGGGTGAAGGGGGTCAGTCAGGGAAAAAATGGGCAGGGTGTGGGAATTGGTTTGTCACCTTTTTGGCTCTAGTATGTGTTTCATAAGTGTGGAGAGCTCAGTGAAGAGCTGGGAGAAGGTCTCTTGCAGCAGGGCCTGAGTGAGCTCGGACAAAAGGTGGGGCGTAGGCAGTGCACCCTCACGGGTGAAGCCGGTGCCACAGCAGGCACAGTTCTTCCTTGTGTAGCCTTCATAACTGCATTCTTGGGTAGCTGCTGGGCTGGACGTAGCCAAGCCACTTGTGCTTTTGTAAAGGGTCATTTTCAATGAGATGCAGAACCCAAAGCCTTTTGGCAATGGGACAGCTCATAGAAACTACATGTCATTATTTCCTTCATATTGGCATATCAAACACTGATCTGACAATCTTAAGCAGGGTTACAACTGTCACTGACTGCATCCTAAAGGAATCCTAATCATTGCAGAAGCTGATCAGATAGGCTTGCCTTTGCCAGCAGACGTTGTGGAAAGAAAAAACTGGCTTTCCCTTGTCGTGGTTTAGCCCCAGCCAGCAGCTAAGCACCA